GGATGGGGGAGCAAACCTGCAGCAGCAAGGTGGCCCGAATTCACTGCTCCCCAAATCCCCGGGGTGGGGGGTTATTAGTGGCATCGCCACCCTGGCATCCCCCCAACAGGGGCAAAGAGGCTCCTCTCGTCCCAGAGCCCCCACCTGCACCTCCCACAGCTCACAACACCGCTGGCAGCACAGCGTGGTGGCCTCTGCCCTGTCCCTCCAAGAGCCTCTCTGACCTATGAATGTTTTTTACTAATTTTTTTTTTTTTTTTTTTTTTTGCTGCATTAACACGAGGTTCAGCAGTGAGCAAATCTGCAAGGCTGCCTGCAAACCCAGGTGCAGCCGAGGGGCAGAAAGCCACCCTCGAGGCATTAACTGCAAACTGGAAAGGGGAGCTTTAGCTGCCAACACAACACAACCGGCCCTGAATCCAAGCAGCACCACTGCACAATGCGAGGCTGCTCCTCCCACACAGATTACCCCAGCCTGCTAATGAGGATTATGGAGGGGTTGGAGGAATTAAAGGAGCATTTTGAGGGGCACTGGCCGCTGTTTGCAGCTGGGGGTTAGCAGAGCAAAGTCGCTCTGGCTGGAGAAGCAAGCAAGGTGCTGCATCGAGCCCTACCTCTGACGTCCAGCTCCTCCTCCATGCTCTGGATGTAGGTGGGTGATTTCTGCTGGATGAAGTAGAGGACCTCGATGGCATTGGCCATCCAGAAGAGGATGTGCTGCAGGTCCGGGAGAAGGTCTGTGATGGTGAAGTGGGACAGGGTGGTGGGGTCCTGGCTAGGGAGACACAGCGGGTGTTACAGCTGCTGTTCCTCGGCATCCCCACTCAAGTTTTTGGGGAGAAAACAGTCATCCTGGGGCAATGCCAGGAAAGCATTTGTATGCCCTCACCCCCAAGCCCAGCACCATCTTTAGGAAGACCCTTTACAAGCAAAAAGCTGATGGTTCCTGCTCTGTGGGATGACAAAGGGGACCCTGCAGGGACTGGGCTGGCTGAGGGCTACCTGGCCTTTGGGGGGTGCTGCTTTTGGGGGGAGACTCCCCCCAGTACAGCTGAAATGCAGTAAATACTCCTGGCTGAAGAGCAGCTCTCCCCTAGAAGTATGTGCTGTTCCTGCCAGCTCTGGACGGTTAAACCCAGCCCGCCCACACTGGGCCGTTCAGAAATAAAACAAAATAAATAAAAAGCATCTGGGAAGTTTCTCAGCTGCTGAACTGCTTTTTCCTGCTGTAGGAAAGGCCTGGGAAGCATCCTCGGAGCTGGTCCTAAAGGAGAGCTCACAGCAAACGCCAACAGTTTCTCCAGATGCTGCTTTGGAGCCTGGATCATGTAAATGGCTGGGGAGCCAGCGCCCCGCACCACTGTGATGGCCCCAAAGTGGTGCTCCCCACCCTGGGACACCCTCTGCCACCACCCCTGGATGCACACATTCAACGCCAGCCCTGTCCCTGCTCCACAGAGGGGGCTTCAGCATGAACGGGGTGAGACCCGGTGCCAGGGCCATCTTTGCCGTGTGCCTGGGGGATGTTGAAGCCACATGTGCAAAGCCTTGGCCAGGTCTTGCATTGGAGAAGACCCCAGAGCTGCTGCAGGTCCTATTCCACCTCAAGCTCGCCTGCTTTTCCACGGGTTCCCAAGCAGGGGCCTCGCAAGCACTGTGCTGAAAGGACTAGAGAGCTGAATGCATGGAATTTAGTAGGAAACTTCAGCATGCATTGGTGCCATCAGGCTGGGAGGGTGGTTTTAGCCAGCCATAGAATCCTTTCACTCATGGAGGAAGAGCTGGGTTGAATTCTTCTTGTTTTGGGGCAAAAGAAGGAAGGGTGGCAGGTCGCACTTACTGCTGGGACTGCTTTTCAGCCAGCTCCCGTGTCCGTTCCTGGGCAGGGAGAAAAGGGGAAAGCAAAATGAAAACCAGTGGGACGGAGTAGCACGAGCACCACCCCAACCAGCACCTGCTGCTGGGGCCGGCCAGGTTGGGGGAAGCCCCCAGGGAGGGTCCAGCAACATCCCCACCCCACCAACACCCCCGTCCCACCGCTGACTGACCCACACCGTCCTCTGGATCATTTTGGCCGCTTTGAGCAGCAGCTGCCCGAAGTCTCCCGGCTCAAAGCTGGTGGCCGAGTGCTGGATGCAGAGGCAGAGCAGGAAGGCGGGGGTCAGCTTGTGGTCGTCCCCCCCCGGCTCGATCAGGGTCATGATGCGCCGCAGGAGCAAGTCCTCAGCCGCTGGCTCGAACTCCAGCAGCAGTTTTCTGCGGGGTGCCCTGGAGCCACCGGCGGGCGAGGGTCTCCGCTTCTTGGCGGCAGGGTCCCTCTCCTTCAGCAGGCTGCCACACGCCCCGCAGACGGGGGGGCCCTCGGGGACGGCGGGGTGCAGGGCTCGCAGCCTCAGCAGTGTCTGCGCCGGCAGCGGCTGCGCCTTCATGGGGTCCTTGTAGAGGAGCAGGTAATAGAGACCGAGGGAGAGGAGGTCCCCGTGCCGCAGCACGACCGTCCGGGCCACCTTGGTGAAGTTGACGGAGATGCCAGCGCCGACGATGGGCTCCAGCACCAGTTTCTCCTCCCAGCGATGCCGGGAAGGTTGGAGCTTCCTGATGGTGCAGTGCAGGGGCAAGATGTCAGGGGCCGACAGGCTGATGCTGGGCTTGCTCGCCTGCGTCCTCTGGCCCACCGTGTGCTGCTCGCGGTTCAGCAGGTAAACCAGGCTGTCCTGCCAAGCGGGGAGATGCAGCATGAACAGGGGAGGGGGGTGGGGGAGAAGGGACCCTCCTCCCTGCAGTGCGGTGGGTGCTGCAGCCTCCTGCCATCCCCTGGCTGCCCACTCTCTTGCTGCACCTTTGCAGAGCCACGTTTCCCTCTTTATTTTCCTCGCTGCTGAGCAGGACAGCAGCAATACTTGCTTTGGGCACGTTAATAAATGGGCACAATAAGTTTGGGTGTGCAGTAAATGGGGATGCTTTGGGCAGAAGGAGCCCTCCCTCCACCTCGCATCCCTCCACACCCTCCCCCCCCACCTTTCCCACAGCTGCTTTTCCTTCCCACTTTCTCCCCCCAGACTGAAGGATGCCTGCATCCCCCTGTCCAGGGAAGGACAGTGGGACCCCAGTCAGAGCAGCCACTCCCTGCCCTGCCATCCCCCCCAGCCTGCCCGCACACCCCGCGGCAGCTCACATAACCACCCCGTGCCTCAGTTTCCCCAGCTGTACTAACGGGATGGCTGCAGACAGGTAAGGGCTGCAGTGCCAGTGTCACCCTACCAGAAAGATTGGAACAGCCAGATACTCAACGGGGACAAAGTAGCCATTAACTACAAGAGCCGTCCCAGTCCCTTCCAGTTCCCCAAGTGCCTCCAGCACTGGGGAGCAGGGGCTCCCAGACGCGCTGTCTCCTTGCTGCCTCTCATTACGTTTGCCACTAATGAAGCAGCCAGACAGGGGACGGAGCAGTTCAGCCATCACCCACAAAACCGGGGCCAGGGCAGGGATGCTGCTCCGGGGGCTTTCCCTGCCTCCCTCTAGGGCTTTGCCCGGGGTGTGTGTGTGGGGGGGGGGGGGGGTCTTGGGTCCCGTTTCTGCGCCCTCCCGTGCTTGGGGACAAGGCTGCAAGTCCCAAGCTGGCACGGCTCGTTTTCTAAAGGATGCTCTTCCGCACCATGCCCCCCCCACACACACACACCCCCACCCCCCCAAAAAACCACCCCAGCAGCTCCAGCCATGCAAGCAGCCCCTCTTCCCGGGGAGGGGGGTGCGAGGCGGGGGGTGAGCAAAGAGGCGGTGCGGTGCTTACATGCTGCTGGCTGTAGCCCTGCAGGAGCAGGAGGTGCGGGGACTGGTAGAGGGAATACCGCATGCTGCTGCTGCTGCCGCTGCCGCCGCTCCGCGCCGCCGCCGGGCTGCCGGGCAGGGTGGAGCAATGCCGCTGGAACCGCTCCCCGCTCCCGGGCCCGTTCCCGCTCCCGGGCCCGCTCCCGGCCCGCCGAACCGGGTTGCCCAGGCTGGTTTCGCTGAGGCTGCGCCGCAAAGCTGAAGCGGGGGGGGGGCCGAGGCGCTCAGCTCCCGGCCGGGCCCCCCGCGCCCGGTGCCGCTGTAGTTTCCGCGCTTGGGCGTTGATGCCTGCGGGGATGGGGATGGGGGGGGGGGGGGTGTGTGTGTGAGGGGGGTGAGCAGTGTTCAGCCCCCCGCCAACCCCCCTCCTCCTCCTCGGGACCCCCGCAGCTGTAGCACCCCACATCTGGAGGGCTGCTGCGGCGAGGATGGAGCAGCTTAACCTCACCCCCCGCCTTCCAGGACCGTGCACCCTCCCTGAGCTGATGTCCCCCGGTCCCTTGCCCTCCCCGAAGGGTGACACCAAGACACCGATGCGGAGAGTTTTGTGCCCCAATGACACCGCCAGAAAAGGGGGTGCCCCAAACCTCCCTGGCCCCTAAACCCCACTGACCAGGGGGCAGCCGGGCTGGGCTCAGCATCTGCAGCATCCTCTACCTGCCTCGGCCACACTGTCAGGGCCAGGGCAGGAGGAGGGGGAAGAGGAAATCTGTGCTAAAAATTTATCTCGATCTTTGCAAAAAAAAAAAAAAAAAATAAAAAATAAAAAAAAAGCTTTCAGACCTTCAGCACTCAGTGGCCAGCAGCAAGTGGGAGCTGCAGGGAGCCCCCCCGTTCCCCCCAGGCATCAGCCAGGCATAGGAGCTGCGAGCTGCAGTGGAGCCTGCCCGCCTGCCGCAGGAGCAAGCTTTAATTAACTTCTCCCGAGCATCAGTCTGGGCAGAGCTGCCCGCAAGATGAGTGGGAGCTGGAGTGAATGAATAGGCCTGGCCGAGCCTATAAAAACAGCCCCTCGTGTGGCAGCCCCAGCCCCGGGGCGGGGGGGAGGTCCCCACAGGTCCCTCTGTGCTGCAAGCGTGGCTCAAACTCTGCAGAAGAAATAAGAAATTGTGCGTCCAATGACAGATGCTCGTACCTTGGGTGGGCAGACTCCTGGGAGCAGGTCGCTGGCATTCAGGGAGGACGAAGAGAGGGGAAAAAAAAAAAAAAAAACCAAACTAAAGCTTGCGGGAACAGCACTGCACTGGTGTCAGTGCAGCACGAAGCCAGAGCCCCTCTCACAGCTCAGCCGATCAGCGAGCAGGCTTTGGCCAGCGAGATTTGGGGACAGCCAGCGGGATTTGGGGAAGGCAGAGCAGAGAGCTTAGTGCCCAGGGCTGCTTAAAGAGACACTCACAAGCTCAGACCCAAAAAAAAAAAAAGTAATCTGCCTTATTTGGTGAGGAATGGGCTGCTGGTTCTGAAATACATTTTTTTGTTTGTTTGTTTTAAATCAAGCTCTCCTTTGCTGGGAAAATTAAAGAGATGGGCATGAGGAGGGGGGTGGGAGAGGGAGAAAATAGCCCCTGCTGTTTACATGCCTTGGGATTAGGGCAAGGCATGGCCAAGCCACCCCGAGCGGTCCAGTGCCCCGCGTCCTTCTTAAAAAGGCAATTGGCCCTGCTCACGTCCCCATCACGGCCAGCGGCACGGCACGCCTGCGTCCTGCAGATGTGAAATCTGGGGTGTGCAACAAGCCTGCCCGGGCAGGAGCACAGCCCAAGCTGTGCCGCTGGGGATGCCAAAGGCCACCCCAAATGTGTCTGCAGGAGGCCTTAGCTCCCCCCAGGAGTCCCGTTCCCAACCCACAGCATGAAGATGAGCCAAAGGGATGAAGGACGGCCGGGGCGATGCAGGTCCCAGCTCGGCCCATGGGAGCAGAGGAGGAGAGGGGCCGGATCCTGGGGAGCAGCTACTGCTTGGAGCTCCCTGCACAGGGACAGAGCAGGGGCTGCTGGGACTGGGGTCCCACTTCCCAGAGAGACACGCCATCACCGGTCCCTTATCTAGGGAAAAGGAAGTTTCTGTGTTTATTTGGTGTAGAAAAAGCTGCTTTTTTACTGCCAATCGAACCCCTGTCCCAGGCTCCCCGCTAACCCCAGAGCTGTGCTGGAAAGATAAACACAGCTCTTTTCCTGAGCATAACAAAGTCCCTCCATAAACTGGGTTCATTTTTTTTCAGTCCTCTGGTACTGTTTTCTCCTCCTGGGCGCACGCAGGTTATCCCACCCAAAACGCTGCACGAGTATCTCCGACGCAGTGCGGCCAGGGCAGAGCCGGCAGCTGCTGAAGCCCCATGGCAAATGTGGATGGGAACGGGGCAGGATCGCTCCCCATCCCTTAGGGAATGCTGGGCACCCCAGGCAGGGGCACCGCGTCCCCCCAGCCAGCATTCACCAGACCCCACCGAGCTGCTGCCTCTAAACCTGCCCTGCATCCCCCGGGGGGAAACCTGCCGGTTGTGGTGCCTGGGATCTTGGCTAGAATCTGCCTCTTTTACAGCCTAGGAAAGAGGTTCCCTTTTCCTGGCTAAGAAATAAATCAGTCAGTAAATAACTCCACAGGCGCCAGGAAAGAATAAATGCTTTGAATTTACCCAGGAGGGGCTAACGCTGGGCTAGTCCTTCCTAAATGTAATTGCTACGCAGACCCTGCAGGGAATCCTCCCTAGATGCAGTCGTGCTAAGGTAAAATCAAAGCCAGAGCCTCAAAGGTACCTGACAGAGCATCTTTTAATGCAATAGTCTTAACTCCCAAGTTTCTTGAGGTGTGTGTGTGATTCAGCCTCCAGCCTCCCAGGGAAGCCCCAGCAATCTCAGGACACAGCACAGAATTGGACTGGTTTGGAAGATGAACGCCATAAAGGTGCCGAGTGCTGCACCCCTGTCCCAGCACCCTCCAGTTTGTGGGTGTTTTCCCCAGATGCTCCAAACTGCTGTCTTATCACCCCCCCAAAGGAGCAGGGCCAGGGGTAGCAGCGAGAGAGGGCATTTGCCTCGTTTACTGCAGAGATGCTCTACCTGTGCTGCTAATTAGTGGCATGAGGAGTGACTGCCCTTCTCGCCAGTGTGAAGCAGCTAATAAACTAATTAAGATAATGGATAACTGAGCAGATAAAACTCTTAAGCTATTTACTAACAGGCCGTAGATGGGTGTGGAGCCTTTCCTCCAGCCAGCAGCTCAGCAGCAGGGTGGGCAGTGATGCTCCAGCCTGTGTGACACCAGTGGTCCCAGTCCTGCCACTCCATCGATGCCCTGTGTGGGTAAGGGCCCTGCAGGTATTTACCTGGGGAACCTGCTTTGCAGCATCCCTGTTTTTTGTGTATGTTGGTTTTTTTTTCTGTTTGGTTGTATTTTTTTCTTCCCCAGGGAACTGCAAGCCCAAAGTCCCTTTATTTTTTGCACAGATGCTCCATTTTCCACACCAGTGCCCCATGACCCTGGGCAGGCAGCCGATGCTCAGCAAGGGGACCTCTGCCAGCTTGACCACGGTGACACGGGTGACCCTGGTGGGGGGTACTCACAGTCAGTCCCCCTCACACCAGGAATTTTGTGTCTTTTGGGGGATGCTGAATGAGGGGGAAGCAGCTGCCTCCCCCAGACATAATGCATCACTCCCGTTCATATCAGCTTGTGGGTGGGGAAGTGTGGTCCCAGCCCCACAGCATCCCTCCGGGCAGTGCCATCAGCATGGGGTGAGATGGGTGACAGAGCCCTTGGTGCCACCCAAAGAAAGGGCTGCAGGAGTGAGATTTTAACAGGAAAAACAAACAAGGGCTGTGTAGTCTGGGGAGCAGACAGCCTAAGCAAACGTGGGTGTAGGTTTTCTGTCTCGGAAGAGCTTGGTCAGCTATGGAAAATGCCCAAAGGTTAAAAAAAAAAAAAAAAGGAGAATTTCCACCACCCCACCCAGGAGCGTTGAAACAAATGAAGTGATATCTACATTGAAAGCATAGCGGGCTTCTTTCCAGAATTAGGGCACGTGATCCCGCCAGGAACTGCTCCTCCATCAGAAATCACCAAGGGGTGCTGAGCCCAGGCCAGCCCAGAGCCTGCTGCTCCCCTACCCTGTGTGGGAGCCTTACCCTCCCCACGGCTGCCAGCCCATCCACCATCCAGGTCACGGGTGGGAACGCTGCTTCCTGCATCCGAGGGGGAGTATTTGAGACTGAGAGTTGCTGTGACCTTGGGCTCAGGCAGGGAGCTGCCACGTGGCCCTCCCCACCGTGTGCTATAACCGTTGCACTTGGCTCTTGCCCTTTCCTCTGTTCAAAAGAACCTGGGTTTAGTCACCGCTCTCCCAAAGTGTTTAAGCTCTCTGATCCCAGCTGGAGAAAGAGCCAAAGAGAAACAACGCAAGCAACCCCCAAAGCTGCCAACTCCACCCTCAGATTTTGGGGCATCCAGGCAAAATTGCAATTGCAAATTGCAGCCGATGGGGCTCCAGCAGTCTCTGCTCTCCCTTGGACTGCCCATGGCTGGTTTCTTTCACGCCACGTGCCTGGGCTCCTTCCAGCCCTCCTTAGAGCAGATGGGAAAGGAGCCCCATCCCCGCTGGTGTGGGACAGGTTGGGCCATTTGTTCTGCTGCTGGTGGGGGGAACCTTGACTCTTGTTTGTTGAGCTCCCGGGGTAATCCTGCATCCTTTTTAGGACATCTTTGACAATCACAACCCTTTCCTACAGGTGGGAGGAACAACTCTGTGCCCATCCCAGCAAAACGCCCTGGCTGACACCTCCAGAGCCTGATCCAGACCCTTCTGTCAGCAGGTCAGACCCACCAAGGGCATCGTGCAATTAAAAATCTAATTTTAAACCTTTCCACCCCCAAACTTGTGGGGCTTTTATCTGAGGGTGGGAGGAAGAAAGCTTCATTACTCCATGCTGGGGTCATTTATTAACCTGCTAGTTCCTAATGATGCACTTACCTCTGCCTGCCAGCCCTGGACCCACTCAGGCACCTTTGTAGGGGCTCTCCCACCCTACCGTTGCTCTCCCTTCATTAGCTTTTCATTTTGCTTAATTGCTCCTGCAGATTTGCCCTGGGTGTCTGGCCTGGGGGATGTCCAGGGGGGAGATGGCGGTGCAAAGGAGCAGGGCAGTGCTCTGCTAGGCATGAAGCTGCGCTGAAGCACAGAACACCTCAATGCTGGTTCACAGTGATGGGAAGAGCAGGCAACACTGTTGGTCTTGCCTGCTGCTACCCAGCTGCAAGTGAGGATTTGGTATGAACCCCTAGACCGGCTGGGGTAAATATTTGAGGTTGCAGGTACCAAATTTCTGCAGCAGAGCACAGGGTACCAACTCTACCCAGGACCTTGCAGGTAAAATGTGGCTACCCTCCCACTTGCACACCCCCGCTGCCCTGTGCCCAAAACCCATGCAAAAGCTGCTGGTGTGGGGTGCATCTCCCGCAGGCAGCTCGAGGAGGGGGGGGGGGGGGGGGTGTCACATCTCCCCGGACCCTCTCCCTGCGTCGCACCCGGCTCTGACCTGCAGTGGTGGTGTCCACATCCCTGGCTGCCAGCTCCTCCACCTCTGCCCTCTTGCGCAGCTCCAGCCGTCGCGAGAAGCCCTCCCTGGGCTTCCAGAGGTCCTGGATGAGCAGCGGCTTCTCGTGATCTCCCAGGACCCTCAGTCCCTCCGTCTGCCACCTCTTCTCGGGGCCCTCGAACCTCCCGATGACATCGCACAGGGCGTACTGCCCGGCGCTGAGCTGGCTCAGCCCATAGCGCTCCAGGGCTTCCTTCACCAGCTCCCGCGCGCCCGAGCTGCCCGTCGCCAGCACGCTCTTGTAGTTGGTGCCTGCGCAGATGTTTCCCCCAAAGATCTTCAGGACGCCGGGGGCCGAGAGCTGGGTGGAAAGCTCGGCTGGGTCATCCTCACAGGCTGCTGGGGAAGCGGAGGCTGAGCTCCGGTCCTTGTAGCTCAGCGTCCGGTACAAGACTTGGGAGAAAATCCGGCTCTGGCGCTTCAACCGGTTCTTGGATGGTGGAGCCATGGTGGAGGAGGACCCATAAAACATCGTGCGTGAGGTCGTCATGGGGCGCAGCTGGGCAGGGAAGAGAAAAAAGGGGAAGGTCAGTGGTTTGGAAGGCGGATGTGCAGCAGGGAAGAGCAAGCAGGAACCGGCTGGTGGCCGCGGAGGAGCCACTGTCACCTCCAACGTGGAAAGGGACAGCAGCGAGGGAAGGTCATTTCCCTCGTGTGACCCAAAACACCATCAGCCAAGCTCAGCCGGGCTCTTTGGCATCAGCACGGTTACCCCAGGATGGATTTGTCCCTGAAAACATAGCCCAGAGCAGCCCCAAATTTCTCCATTGTGTATATTAAGAGGTGCCTCTTGCCCAAGCAACCTGCAGTGGAGGGACAACAGGGCCTGTCCTGGTCAGGAGCCAAGGCGTCAGGAGTTACTTTCACTAATGAGTTTATGGAGCAATCCCATTTTTTTAGAAGTGAAACAGAAAGCTCAAGTGCAAATGCAATCACTCTGAGGTCACCGCTAAATGCTTTTGCTCACCGAGAGGCACAGGGTGAAAATGGGCTTTAATTAGCCTTTCTAAAATTGTCCTGACTCTGGCAAATCTCTTGGCTGTTGTTAGTTTGTGGATGATATTAAAGCACGCAGTTGGCATTGCTGACGACACTGCCCTTGTCACGTTCGCCGGGACAGGGCTGCTCGGCACCGACAGCGACCGGAGAAGTGGCCACAGCCATTCAACAGCTCCCGGTGCACCTGGGTCCCCAGGAACTGGCTGGAAACCACGATGCTCTTCTGGCTTTAGGCAGATAGCGGTCCTGCCCGATGTCACTGCCGACACCTGGGGCCAGCTTTGAATTCACATCCTGGATGCACAAACACCCAGCGCTTGCTTGGCGCTGATAATGCCACCAGCTGCACCACAAACCACTGGCGGGGCAGGTCCAGAATGAGAACTCGAGCATTTCTGATTCGGACAGGATGGGGATTTCTCCTCCCCTCCAGATTTACAACGTGCAGCCTGCATGCAGCGAACAGGCACAGGCAGGGGGTCGGTGCATACACAGAGGACCCCCAAAACATCCCATCCACAGCTCTCAGAGCGCTTTGATGCAGCAATCGGCATGATCCAGCCGTGCATGGCCAGGGAGATGAGGGGTGCCAGCAGCTTTCTGTATCTGCAGCCCCGTCTCGCTTGGGCAGGATCCCACCACCGGAGCAAATCCAGTGCTATCGGGCAGAATGATGTCGGCCCTGGAAAGCCTCCAATCCACCATCTAATTCAGGAAGAAAAAGCGTCCCTGCTGCTAATGGAAGAGGTCACCTTCTAACCCAGAAACAGCCTCCCTGCTGTGCACGAAGGGTTTCTGCAGGGTGTACATCTCCTCAGCCCAGGACCAGAGGCTCACTGAACGCTGCAGCCGGGGAAACTGAGGCACCAGCAAGCACTAAGGCTGCAGGACGTGCCTGGGAGCTGTGTGATCCTGCGATGCTGCCCTTTCCACCTTCCCAGCTCCACCAGGCCTGTGAAAGTGCTGGGGTTCATCCGTCCTCCCAAACCGCTGGCTGGGAAAGCGAGGGTGCAGCGGCCGTGCGGGTGCTGCAGGGCGGGGCGGGGAGCTGGCAGCTGCTGAAACTGGACTTAGCCATCAGCCTGGAAAGCAGAGCTTAAAATCTTGTGTTTTGTACCCTGCCAGGCAATCACTGGCCCCAGGAGTTTAACCGCAACTCGCTGGGTTTGGGGAAAGTTGTTCCTGCCTTCCACCTTGCAACTAGAGAAACTGAGGCAGGGATGGGGTTAAAGCTACAGCTGCCCCCATGGTGCTGCTCTTCCCCCAGCCTGGCCTGGAGCTGTTGATCCCACTGGGGACTTCCCTTCGTGTCTGCTGTGTGACATCTCCTGGGAGTGCCAGGGTGAACCCGACCTGGGGAGCAGGTCAGGGCACCGGCAGACAGTCAGGTTCAAGAACTGCTTCCCCAGGCTGCCAGCATGGCCCCGCCAGCCCTCATTAACATCCACCAGAAGAAAAACTACCCCAGTGTCCCTACAAGACCTTGCCATCAAGGATGCAAAACACAAAACTTTGTCATCAAATCACTGTTCTCAGTTCACAGATTTAATCTCCTCCGCCCTGAACCACCTCCAGCACAAAGGGAAACCTTTTAACATCTGATGGTGGTAAAATAATTCCTCCAAGCCCACATCAGACAGAGACACCATCCTCACTTCTCGCAGGTCCCTGCCTGGTTTTGAATATGTTATTTATAGCTCAGCTATTTTCCTGCTCTTTCTATCAAACACAGCTTCTACAGCGTGCAAAGGCATTTCACAGGGAAAAATTATGAAGCCTGGACTGAGAGAAGCTTCTAGCCTAGTCACCCTGTTATTCAACATCTGGAGCAACACCGGTGGGATTTCACCAGGTACCAGCACAGGCCACCTGAGAAATAGCAGCTTTATCCCAAACATAGAGTAATGCAAGGTCTTAATCCCCTCGAGGACTTGAATGGATGAGATAAGATGATAACGAGATGTGCTCTTCCCACATCCGTGTGCTCAGGCACGCCCGGCCACCTCCGAGGAGGCTGAAGAGAAAACCACAGTACATGCGATGCTGTTGGGTCCTGCTGCAAGAGCAGGGGACTCTCCAGCTGGACCCAGCTGCCTGGGGACAAGCTGGCAAGGACATTAACTATTCGGGCACACCAGCTCCTGGACCCCCCCCTCCCCAGCCCGGGCGAGCCCCCTCCTCGCTGCAGACAGCCCGGCTCCCGGCCACGCCGGCGCAGCTGTGCGCTGCTGGAGGACACATGCCTGCAGCTACGGAAGCATGACCCAGACTTTCCAAAGAGTCCCTTTCTTCAGCATTCAGCGGCATCTCTGCTACAATTCAGTAATTAGCCAAAAGCCTGTGATTGCCTCCCAGCGGGAACGTCTGTAAGGTATCCTCCACCTCCTCTCACACTGTGCCTGGCCACACCAAAACCTGCTATTTCCCTCAGCCAGCACTGTCTGTGTTTATTCTGCAGAGCTATGACAAATGCTTTTGGTATTCACATGGTCACCACATGTCCTTCCATCACCACAACCGACTCTGCAACCGCCGGGGACTTTCCTGCTGGCTCTCAAGTTCCTGCTCCTACCAGGGGTGAGCTACTCCTTCCCGCTTCCCCCCAGCCAGCGCCCATGCAAAGCCTCCCCTTACCTTGCCATCCTTGTCATGTGCCTTTTCTCCTTCCATTCATCCCTTTTCTCAAAACAGGCCTTCCCCCCCGTCGTACATCATCCTGGGCGGGCGTCCGTTGTGCCTCTGCAAGAGGAAGAGGAGGAACAGTCCTGGGCTGCTCACAGACATCGGCCACTCACAGTGTGGTGGCTTTGGAGGTATTGGAGATTCTGGGACTCTGCCCCTGATGTGCATCGTGTTTGCATGCAAGCTACTAAGTCCCATATATATCCCCTATAGCTCAGCATCTCACTATATTCCCCCTGCCTCAAACCAAACAGCCTAAGCTCTGTCTGCAGGTGAGAGCTGTTGATGCCTGGGATGGAGGGGGCACATCACCCACGGGGGAGTGTGGCTGGTGACACGTGTGTTCGCACATGTTCATCCAGCCACAGCCCATGGATGGAGAAGACCAGCCTGGCCCCAAGCTCAGGCTCCACAGCAGCCCTGGGGGGAGACGGAGCAAACCCAGCCACGGCAATGCCCACCAACAGCATCTACCCCATCACAGAGAGACAGGGAGAGAGCAGATATAGGAAAATAAACTCTCTCAGAAAGGAAAGGCAAAGGGGAGAAGATGCAACCAGAAGCAACCCCATATCCTTTATCTCCTTCTCCCAAGCACATGTGTCCCCAGGGATGCCAGGCTGGGGACCCTCTTGCCCATGGGTGGATGATGAGTCCTGGACCAGCTCCTTCCCCCCGCAGCCATGGCACACTGGGATGCTCCCCAAGATTTGTTTTTCCTGAAGGTCAGTCTATTTTCCTGGATGTTGAGGACAGCCACCAAGCACTGTCTGCTCACCCACCCTGCACAGATCTGCGACCCCTGGTAACTGAAAGAGAAAAGAAGCATCTGCAAAACGCCTGCGGTGATTTCACGGTGTTTTCCCAGAAAGAGCTGGCGGGGCACAAGAAATACTCTTTTCCGTTCTGCCATGACTGAAGACAAATGCGCCATCTAATTAAATCACCTAATCAGGGCCTCTTTGGGGGTTCAGCCCAGCCCCTCTTGCTGGCCCCAGCTCTGGGGCTACAGGAGAAACTTTCCACAAGGCAACAGGTCGTGATGTGAAAGGCAAAGAGATGCTGAACCCACCTCTGCCTCTCCTCGTTTCTTCCAATGATTAATTGTTCCCGCCGGTTAAATATTTATGCCTTATTTCCAACGTGTCTGGCTTTGGCTGCCAGACATTGATTCCTGTCATGCTTTTCTCTGCTCAATTAACGAGCTTTTGGCTAACGTATTTTCTCATCTGCAAGAGTATTTAGATGCTTTAATCAAGCCCCCCTTGTTCCTCTTTGATTTATGAGTAGGCTAACTGGATGGCCATCTCCTCTCTCCCCATCAGGCATTTTCTGCAGCCCCTTGGTCCCTTCCCCTCCTGCCAAGATGGAGAGACTGGGTTTGTCCATTGTAAGACCAATTTCAATTCTCATAGTGCCCTGACCAAAAATGCAAATAACTGCTATTTTTTTTCCAGAACAAAATTGCCCGTTACCCTGAAAATTTTCGATTCTCCAGCACAGAAATTGGGACAGACACACAGCCACCCCCCAGGCAGCTCCCGCTGGAGGAGGGAGCTGGTGAGCCCCTGAGCTGCCTCTCCCAGCATCTGCGAGCAGCTTCTGGTGAGAATTTATCATCCAGATTAGGGACAGGAAAACACGCACAACTCCGGTTATTATTTTTGGGCGCAAAAAAATTTCCATTCTCCATTCTGCTCCAGTCAGAATGCCTTTCACTTGCCCAGTTTACTGTCCAGATTTGTACAAACTAGTAACAATGTGCTGCTCTGGGTCAGCCTCAGTTTTTTTCAGAAATCATTTCTATCTCCTTTCAGATTAGTGATAAAAGCACTGAAACACTGAGGGCATGCTACCAGCTAGCAGTGCCCAGCAGTGATAATCTCCTCTGATAACTGCCTTTGAAACGGATCAGGTTTATTTAATACCAGCTTTCTCAACACTGTATAATGTCAGCTCTAAAGACTGGACTGGACTGACTTTTTCAATATTGGAAAGTGCAGATTTTTACAAGAATTCCACCTCATATAACTCAAATGCTTCACAAAAGTGTATTACAGCCAGAGAGTCACGTCTTCTGTCAGAGGCTAGAATCATTTCTACTTACCAGGAGTTATTTTCCATATAGCCACGTTGGATGGCAGGAATTTATTCCTGGTGCTGAAGTCTTTAATCAATTAAAGCCTGAGCCAGGTTTCTCCCTCTTCTCCCTGGGGGGATGCTATCAAGCCAATCAATCTGTAGCTACCAGGTCATCCTATTCCCTTTTGGGAAGAGCAGCAACACTATTAAAACACTTTTTAATCTTCTGGAATGTCCCCAGGGCTTGTCCCAGCACAGGCATAGCTCTGCATGGATGGGTGGTGAGATTTCAGCTACAGTCTACAGTCATCCCAGAATGACAACCAGAAAAGCCATTTCCCCAGATCTCTATTTGAAAATTTTCCCCTTTATTTTTTTTTTTCCCTTTCTTTTTGGACAAAACCCACTCACGTTGCAGCCTCGGTCTAATGGCAATGACCGCAGCCTGGATGCTGCGAGCAGAGGGAGAGGCCACTCCGGCACTGCAATGTGGAACAAATTATAACTCAGAGAGCAAAGGAAATGAGAACACCCTGGACGCAGCGGCTTTGACGTGCGCTCCTCAGCTCCAAATCCTGCCCCTCTGCAGTTCCCATTCCCAAAGCCAAGGCTGCCGGGGCAGAGCCCAAACCCCTCCGTCCTGTATCAGAGCCCCCACTCCCTTCTGTTCGGGATGAAGCCTCCGCTTCAAAGCCCAGCCTCTTCTTCTGTGAGTTTTATCCATCTAATCTAGGGATGGATCGGAGGCTGATAATGTCAATGCCAGCCTTGGTGCCATCTTTAGTCGGATCAGAGCGGGTAAACTCCTTACTATGTTATTATTAGCAGGCACTCTGCAGTAGCACCCTGGACCCCACAGCTCAGGGAACCGTTCAAACAGAACGTAAAGACAGTTCTGGTCCTGCAAAGATGAACTAATAATTTGTCCTAAAGGCAGTTATCACTCCACAAACGGATTATAATGATTTGGGACCCAATCCTACAAGGACAACAGGGGTCCTTTTAGCATGTTTTCTTTTATTGCTTTTTTTTTTTTTTTATTCATTATTTTACAGAGTCTTTTGAGCTGCCAACGTGCATCAGCTCTCCGGTAATACACAAGTACAAATGCCAGCCCTCTGCCCAGGCAGCTCTATTCACATATACATGCAAGAAACATTTCACAAAGAGCATTTGCTTTCTGCTGCCTTCCAAGCAGCAGAGTCTCGCTAGGCTGCCTAATTATAAGATCTTAGCAATAATTTTTTTTCGAGCTATAATTAACTGATCCTGGAGAGCGCTGAAAATAAGCATTTTCCAAGCAAAGCATCAAACTCCCCTGAGTTTTTTCAGCTAAAGTTACAACTCAGCATGCAACTGCTCCAGCCTCACGGAGGAACAGACCACCCCGGCACCTCCCTGCCAAGGCCTGAGATGCCACGACAGTCACAAGCAGCTGAATACAGGTGAAATCGCGTGTGTGGAATAGCAGTGGGATCCCAAGGGGTGTGCAATGGGACAAGGATCCTAAAGGGGGGTGCAATGGGGAGAAGGACCCCAAGGGCTATGCAGTCAAGAGAAGGATCCCAAGGGATGTGCAGTGGGACAAGGACCCCCAGGGGACATGCAGTGGGGAGAAGGATCTCCAGGTGCCTGGCAGTGGGACGAGGATCCCGAAGTTCTGCGTCTCCCCAGCACAGCCCTGCCTGCCCGGTGCCGTTCAGGGCAGGCTGGGTCGCCAACGGCAACCGGACAAGCCTCAGCCCTCGCCGCCGCTTCCCTTCTGCCTCCCCTTTCCAAGGGGACGAGAAACAAACCTTCCCGTCCGAGCAGACGCGGGGACACACACACACTTGCTGGTCCCATCGCTGGGAGACGCTCCCGGGTGCGGGGGCTCAGCGCGGAGGGTGTTTCGGGGATGCTACGAGGGGGCTCCGCTTCCCTACCATCAGCGCCCACTCCCTCCCCCCCCCCCCCCAAAAAAAAACAAAAAAAAAAAAAAAAAAGGAATGGGGGTGTTGGTACCTCGGGTAGGGTCTGTCTTCACCAACCCCCGCCCTGCACACCCCCCCACCCGCCCTCGGTACTCACCGTGCGGGGCTCGGCGCGGCCCCCGGCGGCTGCAGCGCCCGGAGCCGCCGGGGCTGAGCGGCGCGTCCGGCCGCCGGGGCGGAGCGCGGCGGAGCGGCACTGCGGCGCCCCCTTGCGGCCGCCCGCCGCCACCGCCCCGCGCAGCGCCGAGCACCCCCGCGGCGCCCGTGGGAGGGGGGGTGGGATGGGGAACGGGCTGCCGCTTCCCACCGTTATAAACGGTCACGGCGCGACGTGGGCCCGATTCTGAGGGAGGGAGGGAGGGAGGCAGGCAGGGCTGCGCGGGCAGCGGCGAAACGGGTTTTGTCAAAAACAAGCTCCAAAGTCCCGGCCCTGCTGTGGCTGCGCGCAGGTTGGAATCGGGAAGGGATGGGTTGAGGCTGCGCCGGGGAGTTGTTCGGGACGAGGTGGCCGCTGACGCTCTGCTTCCCTCGCGTAAAAACTTTCCTTTTGGTTAAGTGGTTGTTTCTCTGCCTGGCGGTGCAGGGGGGTTGCGCTTTGGGTGGGAAGGTGGGTCTGGCACTCAGACACCCCCTGGGAATGACAGCGCAAAAGCAAAGCGAAGCCAGCGGGCTTCCCAGTTCAGCCCGATCACCAGCAACAAAGAAATTATGGGCAAGGTGGAAGTTGTAGGTCAGGTTTCGGGGTGAGTTCAGCTCCCCTCTGGAAGCAGGGAACCCTCCCTGGCCCTTGGGAAAAGCTGCTGAACGTCGCAGCCTGTGGGGATCTAGCCCCGGTGTAATTCCATTGGAGAGGTGCAAGGGAGAGGGCAGCCGGTGGGTGTGCAGAGCCTGGGGCAGGCAGTGCCGGCCGGCAGGCTCCGTGGATGGGGGCAAATTCTCCCTCTCCAAGAGGAGCCAGTGTCCGTGGGGAGCTGGTGGGCGATGGTGGGACAGTTTCCCCTCTGGGGTCCAGAGCGAGCAGCGCGTACCCTCTGCTCCGTCTGCCACGAATTTTCTTCCTCCCCAGATCTAGCATCCTTCCTCCCCTGCGGTGGCAGCCCCGGGGGCTCGACACATGTCAACCGCAGACTCAGCCACCGCGGGAGGGGAAAAGGCAGGGCCCGAGTGGGCGTGCAGGGTGGGTTCGCTGAGACCGCCTCGGTGAGATGCTGGCAAGCCCTTCGGCCAGCACCACCGAACACAAAGTCGCCCCTGCAAACTCACTTTTTTTTTTTTTTTTTTTTTAAGGAAACTCTGCAGCTTGGAGCTCAACCCATCCCCAACCTCCTGAATTTCCCAGTGCAGCTGGTGTGACGGGCGAAGTGGTGCTGGCCCCCCCGGCAAACCGAGCCAGCAGATGGCAATGCCATCCATGCACCGAGGTGAGCCAGAGCTCAGCCATCCATCGCCGTGAGCGGGGCCTCGCTGCAGCTGGTTGAGTGGCTCCTCCCCTCCCTGGGAAGCGATGCCATGTGGGGAAAGTCAGATAGAAAATGGGTTGATTTCCAGATGCTGCAGGAAAACCAATTTTGATTTAACAAGCAGGCAGCAGTGAGGTATCTTGAGTTTTTATTTCAATCCTACTCCACAGGAAACAATATTTGCTAGAGTTATCTTCCTTACATTTTTTTTTTTGACCCAATACTGTGTTAAATATAAAATACTGATTGAACAAGAACGGATATGAAACACACAAGATGCTAAAAAGGTCCCTCAAACCCTTCTCCACAGGCAACCTGAACATTACAGTCGTTTAAAATTAGTATAAAATAGAAGGACAATCTGATAACCTGCTCAGTGCTTCCCACCTTGCTTTGCAAGAGAAGGATTTAGGAAGCAAGAGAAGAGGGGGGACTTCTCAATTACAGAGAAGCCCACTCGGCCAATCTGGACTCAAGACAGGGTGGCAATGTCCCCACAGAGCTTGGCCACCCATTCCTGCCCGGGCATCTGCCCTGCCCTGGGTTTTCAGCAGGAGACTGAGATGAAGTGGTCTTGGAAAGGTCCTTCTGGCACCATCCTGTGCCTTGGGAGCCCCCAGGATGGATTTAGGGCCAAAAGCTCCCAATGGCAAAACGGCTTCTGGGATAAATTCCATAGGATGGAGCCCATGGACAAAACACGGTGATGGTCCCTGGGAACCATGACAGGTTCCTGACAGGGAACGTTTGCCCGGTGGCTGGGACTGCTGTGTGCATGGTCTGTCCCCAGGGTGGTTTCCCCATGGGATTTAGTGACAGAGGGGGAGGAGAGCTGGGCATATCGAGCTGCAGTTGTCATTGTGCCCCATGGTGGCTCTGGGAATCCAGTCCCCCAGACTCAGTGAAAATTGAAGCACGTATTTGTAAAATCTTGGACGTCTTCCAAGTGCTTCACGGGGTCCTCACATGAGCCCTGTGAGGTAGTCAGTGTCTTCACCCCCATTTTACAGATGGGGAAACTGAGGCACGGAGAAGGGTAATGACTTGCCAGACAGAAAAAATAGTATCTCCTACTCTAGGACCCAATATCCCGCTATTCCAACCCAACATGCTCCACCAACTGCTGGTTACTCGCAGCTCATCCTTCTCCACTCCCTCCATCTGTGTTGGGTGATGGAGCAAGGGCTGGGACCTGGGGGCCTGGGAGAGGCAGCAGCAGAGACTGGGCTCACGCTGGGTCATTCACCCCCTGTCCCTAAGACCACCCGTCACCTTGAGACGCGTCCCAGCCCAAAGGCTGCATTGGGATACCCCGGGCAGAGACATCCCCCCAGCAGCCCCATACCAGGCTGGGGTGCTGGGCAGAGCACCCAGAGCCCCTTATAGGAACCTTCTGCCTATGGAAGTGAAAACCCACCAAATTTTTTTGCTGACATGGTGACCACAGCCGCCACATCACGAGGGGAAGAGTTTCTGGACGCTTTCTCTTTGGTAATTTGCTGCAAAATGGCATGGCCATGGAGAGCTTGTCCCAGGGCACTGCAGGCTGGGGGGACCCTAAGCTCTGCAAGAGGCGGGACAGAGCCAGGAGCTCAGCTCCTCAGCACGCTGCCAGAGAAACAGGAGATGCGGGACAATGGCCATAAATCTCCTTCGCTTGCCACGCCGCGCCGAGACTGCTGCAGTCGCGATTAATCAAGAGGTCAAAAAGAGAGGATGGGAAATCGATGCCTTTGGGGGCTCCCAGGGAAGGTGTAGGCAGGGCTGAGAGCAGCGCTGCTCTGTGGGCCAGCTCCTGGCACAGAGCCTGGCTTGCACCACAGCCCGGCACACACCAGTCCCTCCCAGCTCCAGCAGCTCTGCCGGTGTGTTTGGGAGCAGGACCAGGTGTGATTTTCCCATTCCAGCAATATCCAGGCTGCTCCTGATGGCTGGGCAGGAGCTCCACGTCCCATTATCCTGCCTTGGAGAGCACTGTGTAGCCATGGTTAGGGGTTTAAAATCCAAACATCACTAGGATCCCTCCATCACAGCTCACCTCTGAGCATCACATGGGTGCATCCCGTCCCTGTGGCATTCCCAGGTATGTCAGGATTCCTCCCAAAAATGGATTTAAATCTGATCCTGAGCAAGAGGCTCATCATCAAAATGGGAGCAGAGAAGGCAGGCAGCCCTGTGGCCCCAGTCCAAGGAGGTTCGGTTCCCTCCCTCGAGGAGAAAGAAAATCCCCTGCTGCGGATGGGCTGACCCCAGCCAGGCTGGTGCCGGGAGCCGGGTCCCCCCTGTGCCCCCGCTGAAGGCACACGGGCAGCAGAGCCTGGGAGTGGGGCTGTGCTTGGGGCTGCCACTGGCACCAAGCCTGGAGAGGAAAACAAAGCACCCCAGGGAGAAAATGTCCATAGGGGCTCCCAGGGCCCATCTAGGGGGGACGTACTGAGTTGTGCATTTAATACTGGCTTAGAGAAAAGGTTTTCCAGTGCTCAGGGACTCTGGGGTGCCCTGGAAGAGATTCAAGTTTTAATCTCATGTAAGGCTTGGTTGACTCTGGACCTTCCCATCAAGACATTGGGAGGGGGGCAGCTAATGATAACATGACTCAGGACCATTTAGGAGCCGAGCCTGGGTGGTGCAGGGGTGCCACCGTGCCCCCCTCCTCAGCTGGGGCAGCCACACTCCCAGGCATCCCGGGGGAAAGGGGCTGCGTCTCTCCCCAGGCCCCGACACCTCCAGTCCCCTGAGTGGCCCATGCTAAGGGCTCCGGTAGCCAAACCCAGGGTGTCACTAGCCAGGGGCATGCAGGGCCAGGGCCCCTGGTCCTGGCAGGTTGCTCAGGGTCGGGCCGGTGAGCAAGGCCTCCCCGAGCCCTTGGCAAGAGGTCGCTCCCCTATTGCCCGCAGCCCTTTGGTCAAACACCGTGTTACGAAATCTTTGCCTAAAAAAAATAAACAGTTCCTGAGGTTAAAGAAAAAAAAAAAAAAGAAAAAAATCTGTTTAAAATCAACCTCCAGGCTCTCCTGTCTGTGCAGGAAGGGCAGCAGGGGCTGCTGCCCGTGGGGCGAGCGGGTGGTTTGGGGCGAGCCCATGGCACAGGCTGCCTCCCCGCTCCCCTCCATGCCCCTGTGTGCCGGTTGGCACAAACGATGTCTTTAAGGCTTCTACCGGGATGTTTTAGCCTCCAGCGTGCCGGGCTGGTAGAGGTACCTCCAAATGGCGTAGTAGTGGATGCCAGCTCCGATGGCCACGAAGAGGTGCCAGATGGCGTGGGCAAAGGGGATGCGACCGTCGCTTTTGAAGAAGACCATGCCCAGGCAGTAAGAGAATCCACCGGCCACCAGCTCCGGGAGGCCATCCCTGTTGGGCTGGGAGCAAGCAGGGAGGCAGGGCTCAGTGATAGCCATGGCACGCCTGCCCTCGCCCCACCGCTCCATCGAGACCAGAAGCGTGGCCCCAGCTCCAGGGTGCAGGCAGGACCCTCGCTCTGCCTTCTGCTACCCCCCTCCCCTCCAGCAAGGCAGAGGGGACCCAGCAGCTCAGTTTTGCCGAGAGGATTTCAGCGCAACGGAGCCTGGGCAGGAGGTCCTGCTGGAGGTGCACATGGGCACCCAAAGCATTTCCAAAACCAAACCAGGCTACATCTTCTTTGGGGATGGATTTTATCCACCACACAGCCTGGACCACACCAACCCACTGGAGACAAGCCAGCCCCACGGCTTCCCAGCAGTGGCTTACCATGGAGAGAATGACCAAGGCGGGGAAGAAGCCCATGATAACGTAGCACACCAGCTCCACCAGCTTGTACCTGCGACCAACAGAGAAGCTGCTTGGAGGCAGGTGCAGAGGGAGCGTCAAGTTTTACGCTTGTAACGTCCACTGCTGTGCTACAGGAAAGGGAATGGAGGTGCCACCACGGCAGGTCCCATGTCCTCAGGTGTGAGCTGCACCTCCTCAGCGGGGCTGGCACCCAGGTCCAGGGGTGATGGCCCCAACCCTGGCTTGGGAGCTGCCAGCTCAGCAGCACCAGGCTCACTTCGGGGAGAAACCTGGGGCCTTTTGCTTAATATTTGGTGCCACCATGTGGAAGAAGCAACTCATGGCAGCACGTCCCTGCTCCCACATACCTCCTGCCTGCCACCAAAGCTCCTAAAACCAGGGTGCAGATGGGGAAGGATGTGGTCCAAGGAAGATCTCGACTGCCGATTGACCAGGAGGCTGTCCAGAGACCCTGTACCTAACTAGCTAGATATCTGTCTGTCTGTCTATCTCCATCCTTCTTGATCTCCCTTCCAGCTTCGCTACCGTCGGGGCATTAAGAGGGGCTGGCAGAGCTGAGCTGGGGTCTGCAATGCCCACCAGCATGGAGTCAGGTAAAGGCACTCACCGCTCGTGGAAGAAGAAAACATAGACGGTCCCGATAGTCGCCATGATCCAAATGATCCAGCGCATGTGGGAGGCCCAGGGACCCAACTCCCTCAGGTTCAGCCTGCAAGAGCCAGGTCTGAGGTGAGGGAGGTCTAGGACAGCACCCCGGTCCAGGCTGGGGGCAGCGAGGTGCCAGGGAAACGCTGCCCTCACCCCCATGGCTCTCCTACCGAAGGGTCTTTCCAGCTTGTAACTTCAACTTGAAGGGGTTGAAATCTATACAATAGGAAGGGTTTGTGGAAAGGGGTAGGGTACAGCCTTGAGCAGAGCCAAAGCCAGAGAGGGAAACCCTATTTGTTGGAGGTAGGCTGATTTTCTCCCCTCCAGTGGGGCCAAGAAATGGCCCCCACCCACCAGCAACTCACCAGGGAGCGTACGACGCCGCAATGAAGAAGTAAATCACCATCCTGTCGAACATGTGCAAGCAGTGCTCCACAGTCCTGTGGGACAGACAGACAGATGGGTCACAGTCTGTGGCACCGGGGGCCTCCGGACCCTCACCCCCTTCCCGAGCCTCAGGAAATCAAGGCTGGTACCTGAGATGCCTCTTCTTCCAAGAGATGGTATGGAAGATGGTGGAGACAATGAAGAGGCTGGACAAGCCAAAGCCATAGATCCAGGCTGAGATGGTTTCCCACTGGTCATCAGAGAGGATGTAGAGGATGGAGCTGCCAAGGATGCTGGGCAGGATCCAGAACTAGAAGGGAGAAGCAAACCTGCTGTTGACTGTGTTTCCGTTGAGCAACTACAACATAGTCCCTGCTTTTCCTTTTAGATGTTTCTTTCGCTTCTGGTCAAAGCTACCACCCATAAGGTGCCAGCTGGCCACCCACACTGGCCAGGCAGGGTCTCTCCTTTCGTGGTGCAACTCCAGAGTAGCTTCTCCAGGTAGAAGCAGGGAGGAGGAGGAAGGCACACGGAGGATGGCTGCCTCTGAGTCATCTCCCAGGACTTGGAGTAGGAGCTGCCAGCTCCCGAGAGAAACCCTAATGTGGGGAGCACTCGCTCCCACTGCAGTGTAGGCAGCCCCATGGGGCGCCTGTCACTGTTCCTGCTGTGAAAAACACTCAATTTTCAGGGAGCTTTGAAAAATACTCCTGCTCCATTCAGCCCACAGCCAGCTTCCCTGAGGCCATGGTGGGTAAGAGCAAGGGAGATGAACACCAGCTTCCTAGGGCAGGAGCAGGGAGAGCATCTCTGCTCCCCGAGAGCACGTGGGGCACCTCTGCCCCATCACAGCCCCAAGACCCTCACCAGCTGCTCCAGGACTGAACACAGACATTTTTAGTTATTCCTTGAGGTTCCCCAGGGGATCCCTGGAGACCTGAGCACCGTTCTCCCTCACCCTGGGACAGAGACTCACCGCGTGCGTGGCACAGTTTGCAGCGTGCTCGTACTCCGTCGGCTGGTACCTGCAGTTGGACGGGACACGGTGATTCATGAACCTGCAGCAAGAAGCAGGAAGAGAAACGCACTCAGGGGATGGGTTTTTTGGGGAAAAGCCCTTTTGGAGGAGTCTGCACAGGGACACCAACCAGCCCCCCCACCCTGGAGCTCTCCCTTGGCTCAGCTTTGCTCCAGCTGCCCTGCAGAAGTGACCCCGGCACTGGGCACAGCTTGGCCCCAAATGCCAGGACCCCAGATCTTGCTCAGCTATGGCTCAGGCTAAAGCATTTCCACATAGCTGTCGTTGCTTGGAAAGCAGAAGGCAGGAGCCAGCTCTGCCTGCTGCTGTGGGCAGGAGAGGGCAGACAGCAGCAGTGCTGGGAAGAGCCCCAGCAGTGAAGGGGGGCACACAGGGTACTGGGGGGACCTGCTGCAGGTCCCTGGCCCATCCAGCAGTGACACCCTCATGTCACAGCAGCTTGCCTAGCTCTGATGAGGGTATCCCTGTGATGCCTTCAGTTTCAGGGTACCACCTGCATCTATCTCCTACCCGTGGGGGCCGCACGTCCCAGTACATATTGCTGCAGGGGAAAAACCCCTCCATGCTTCCTTGGAAACTTGTATCTCTATTTCTGTCTCTTTTAGTCTGAGGTATCAGGTTGCTCTGGGCGTTGGGAGGAACATATCAATTTCCCCTGTCAGATCAACACACAGCAAGAAAAAATGGTGTTGGGCTTGGCTAGTCCATTGCTAGGTACATAACAGTGTATTAAGAGACAAATTAAATGTGCAGCCATGATAACAGGTCAGAACAAAGTGCTGCTTTGCTCAGTGTTTTCTGGCAGGGGCCAGCAGTGGAGGCTTAGCATAAGGGAATAAGAAACAGGCAAATAGAGAGTGATCCTTCCCTGGCTGCTCCTGGTAATGAGGGATTTAAAGACTTCTGCTGTGGCTTAGGTCAAGACGGGCAAGCTGAGCGGGCGCCGGCGGGGCTGCCCTGCAGGACCTGGGCTAATTGCTTTCTGACCCCGTTTGCTCTTGGCTCTGGCACCATCTGCGGCGTGTTTCACAGCTGAGCTGCACCCAGCGAGGGAGCTCAGGGGCCGGCAGGACCTTGCCTCTGGGTCCACGGTGACTCCTTGGTCCAGGGCACTGTGAAAGGCAGTAAAAGTCCCCTCTCCCCATCCCCGACCCACCCACGCCCGTGGAGACGCCTCTGCTGTCTCCTGCCTGCTCAGCCCCACTGAGCCGCTCACTGCTGTCCGTTAAAGTCAGCCAGGATGGATTAAATACCTCAGATGACAAGGGTTTGAGTGTGGGGGGAGCATGGCCATAGGGTGCAAGGTGTTCCCCGGCAGGCAGCAGTGACAGCCCGCACAGGGAGCCTGTCCCCAGCCCCTGGCCTGCCTGCTGCCAGACCCCAGCACTGCGGGAAGATGCGTGGTCATCGTCACCAACAGATGTCTTGAATTAAGAGGGGGAAATGGAGGGGCTAAGCACCCACTGCCCTGCAAATCGAGGATCCACGCTGGGTAAATCAGGGCTTAGCAAGGATGCTGTGGTGCTGGGAAGCAGCCGGGCATCCCTGGGGATGTGCTCATGCCCAGCATGCTGTCATCTCCATCCCAGGGGACAGCAGAGTGCCCTCCCCATCCTGCCACTCCAGCCATGAGGGCTGGCCAGGCTCCCCGTGCTGGAGCCATGTCCCCCTGGCAGGAAGACATTACTGTCCCCTGTGTTGCCAGGAGACTGTGTCCCCAGCTACCCTTTGCTTTCTGCTTCCCTTTCTTTTCTCTTTTAATAATAAGAAGGCAGGGGGGCAGGGGGGAAGGCCAGACATCCCACGTGACGTCATGGTTGCTGAGGAAACATATCCGAGGCCTTTTCCTTGACTTTATTTATTTTAACAAAGCCTCGCACCATCTTCTCTCTCTTCTGGCAGTTGCTGGTCAGAGCAATAACAAGGAGCAGCAACAGGACCAGTTCCCACAGCCCCCTCCCCCAGGACCAAGGGGTGCCTGGACCCTTTGGGAAGGGATCCCTTGGGTGCAAATATCCTCCCTAGCTCTGGTACAGGGATGGAGAAGCCAGGAAGGGCCACCTTGGCTGTCCCCACGGGACAAGGTCAAACAGCTTGTGCGTCCCTGAAGCCCAAAGCCACGCTGGAGTGGCACGCTGCAAATGCCTGCTTTTCCCAGAGGGAGAAATAGCCTTGAGGAGAAACTTTTCTTTTGACCTGCAGAGAGACTGCTCTTGTTTTCCTGCCCTGTTTTCTAACAAGCATCATCCTGTGAAGGTTGGGAAATGGAGCATTGTATGTGTGGGACCTGGCTGCAGAATGCCAGGCCAGCCTGGGTACGGCATGCACAGGGAGCCCTGCATCATTCCCAGCCTGCAGAAAGTTGCTGTACTGGTGTGCAAAACCAGCCTCCGAGCTGAGCTCCAGCACAGACGGACAGAGGGACATACTTGGAGAGGGCACCTGTGACTCTCATTAGAGCTGATGAAAGCCCAGAGCAACTGAGAGCCCCAGAGGAGGCTGCTATGTGTTTCCCAGCCCCAGCTCTGTGTGACTGGGATTGGGAGAAGGGAATTGCTGGCAGCCAGGCAGAGTTCTGGGGTCCTTCAATGCACGAAAATAATAATAAGAGAAACACCTCTCCAAACTTAGGTCTAATCCCTGCAGTAAGTCTCCTGCCTGGCTGGCTGAATACACAATCAGCAGCAGCTCTGTGTCATTGCACCCATGGGCTTGGGGACACTCTGGCAATGTCCCTGGGGAGGGAGGTGGTGAGAGAGACTTGTCCCCAGCTGCTTCCAGCTTACGCTGCCACATGCCTGGGGACCCAGCAAAACTGCAGCATTGTGGCTCGCTCGACACAGCGGGCCCGGGGAGCTGCGGGCAGGTGATTACACACCAGCTGGGTGCTCCGGTGCATTTTAGCAGGTGCTTTAGGATTGCAAAGTCCGAAAGACACGGACAAGTTTAAAACCTCCTGCACAGCAGGAATACAAACATGTTCATTTGCAGGGATGATGCATGGGAAGCAGAGACCCAAGGGGCTCCCAGGCACCTTTTTCTCCCAGTGCTGTTTCTGGCAGATGCTATACGTACTGGCTATATGAGGATGGAGGGCCTGGTAGGCGTCTGAGCAAGAGTTATTCACGGCAGCCCCAGGGTTTTTGCCTGCCCTGCTTGTGCCTGCTTCCCCCTGGCCCCTTTCCCAGGGAGTGAGACTGAAAAGGGCCAGTGCAGCAGGCTCCAGCCAGGGAAACAAAGAGTCCCTTGTCCCAGGCAGCCGGGGTGAAGTGCAGAGCCGGCTTCCCAGGCTTGTTCCTTTCTCCTTCTCTTTCTCCCACTCTGTTTTTTTTTGTGGCTTGGGTGGGAGGGGGTGCGGTTGAGTTTTTTAAAAACTTTTATCCAAGAAGAAAGTTCTGTCCTCAAAAATCACGCAGGTCTGACTGGCTCTTGCTTTGCTGGGGCGAGGGAGAAGAAGGAAAAAATTAGATTAAATTAAATTATTCCTTGGGATGTCACATGTGTGAGCATCTGCGCATCTGAGCTCTCCTGGCGGAACCAAGATGACCTGTATTAGCCACTCCATGGGCACCAGACACACATGGGCCAAGCCATGGGACATTTTGCAGGAAAGCTGTCCCCTACACATGTGGTGGGGGAATGTCCCTGACGGACACCCAGGCCAAGCTGCAATATGGGAGAGATGGGGCTTAGTCCTTCCTTTGACACTGACTCTCTCCAGCTGGCCTCTGCCATGTCAGTTCAGTTCCCTCTCACCCCACTTTCCCCCTCTCCAAGTGAAGATAATAATTTTGACATCCTTTAGGTGAGCTGCTGGAAGGGTAATGCGAGGAGGGTGTAAAATCACCACTAAAACACAGATGAGGAGGCGTGAGCAAGGGTCCCACCGAGCAGGTCATCCCCGCCTTTGGAGAGAGCCAGTCCAACACCTGACAGCCCCAACCCTGCTATAAATCAGGTTATGTCCGTGACACTTGGTTGTGTATCTATACACTGAGGAGCCAGGCTCCCCCTGCACATTGCTGAGGCCACGGCCATGCCACGTACATGCCCTTCACAACCCATGAAGCAATAAATGCCAGGGCTGTGTGTTATGCTGTGGGGACAAAGGAGCAGCCAGCATGCTCAAGATTGCTCCCAGGTGATCTGAATCTCCCCAGACTAGATAATATCTATAGGTTTCACCTGCAAATGGCTTATAAAAGGGCTGGGCTTGCTCAGGATCTGGCCCTAATGTTCTTTGGAGTGGGATGTGGGTTTGTTGTGCATTTACCCTGGGGCGTTTCCAGGCTGTGTTCCCTGCTGGGCAGCTCTTGGCGATCTGACTATAAATTGAGGGGATTTCTCCTTGTGACTAAGTGTCACAACTGCATTTATAGTAACAGAAGAGACTTGTATCCTGTCAGAGAGGAAGGATGGAGAAAGCATTTGCTGGATGATGACTGGCAGTGGTGGTAAATCCTACTGGGGCCTTTTGGGTTGTCCCTTGGTAGAGCAAGTGTTGTGATTCCTGAGGTGATAGTGATGGAGCAGATTATGTCCCTGTAGGGCAGATTGGCCCTAGACTCTTTAGCACGCTGCCTGGATTTGCCCTCACCAGCCCAGAGGCTGCACACCCAGTGCAGGTGCTGGGGCTTGGTCCTCAGGCTTGCGCTCACGTGTGAGCTGCTGCAGCAGCATCCCTGTAAGCTGGGGCTTGGCGTGTGCTCTGCTTCTGACCTGTAATCTGGTAATGCCTAGGCTGCAGTCCCTGGTAAGAAGCTTCATCCTCTTGAGCTGCTCTGTGGTTTGTAATTAGCTCAGTCCTGGGGGAGCTGTGTGTGATGGTGTGGCACAGGGCCCTGACTGCTGCTTATGTATGGGACATGATCACAGGATGCAGGAGTCAGAGTAGGACCACAGAGACATATTCAGGGCCCCCCTCAAGTCCAGGCCATCGATTCTGCAACTCGATAACATGAGAAAGGCTCATCAGTCCTTCCCTTCCCCCCCACCATGGCTGCAGCTCCCAGTACAGAG